ATACATCATGACTTACAAAACACTTTGGCTACATTCTGAATTTTTTTGAATGTGTTGCACAAACACACCCATTAGGTTCCTAGCTGGGTAATGAAACGTTTGCAAGAAAAGAACCAAGCTCAGAGAACCCCAAGGACTCCACATTAGGTCCCTTCACAGATCCAACTCAAGCTAGAGCCACATATTTTTCCACTCCATAATGTATAGCTTTACTGTGTTGTGAGAACACAATCCATTGTTTTATTCAACAAGCCATGGCTTAATATGATATATGAACCCAGTCACAAACTATTACTGTATAATTAAAATAATTAAAAAAACTTACTGTGTATATATGGTTTCCAGCCTATTCCTCAACTGATTGAAAGCGTCTTTGGATTTATAAAAGAGCTGGCCATAAATGGAAACACCTGCCTAGATTCTCACTACTAACTTGCTCAAAATGCCTTTGTCTTTAGCAGGGCAAAGGGTTACACCTATATAGTTGCTGAATTCAAATGAGTACAGGTTTCTCTCTCCTAACAGTTCAACTCTAGAGTCAGCCAATGATGGGAAAGTTTATTAACATTCTGACATCATTGTGACCTAGTAAAAATCAGTATTACAAACAGGGGGGAGCCACAATTGCATTGACCCTTACCTGTGTATACAAAAGATGATAGATATTTCAAAAATTATATTAATATAAAGAAGTTTCTCAAATTAACTACAGAATAATAGCAGCAGCAGTACAAAACCAGGGCAGATAAAATATTGGTTAATTAATGGTTTTTATAATTCCTTTCTCACCAAATGCTAAGTATAGCTGATGCCAATACCTAACAATGTGGCTGACTAATTCGTGGTTCAGTGGTTTAGTTAATGCTTCAGTATTGAGCAAACCCTGGCAATTTAATTCAGTAAACTATGGATCAGCTAACTGTGGATTGGGGTGTTGTGCAAACACAACCACTAGCTTGTTGTATGATTTGCTCTCCCCTCTAAATTTCATCCTCGTTTTGGTTCAAGGTTTGCCTAGAGAGTACTGTGGTCCAGCTAAGAGATCCAAAACTCTGGCTGTAGGGAACAAGTGTTTTTTTTTTAATGCACTAGGGGGAGTCTAGGGGAAAAGGACCCCGGTTTGCAGAAAAGCAGGATACCTTGTTTGATGCATACAGTACAGCAATTCTAGTAGCAAAAGGCAATACAAGTGATACTGCAGTAAAAAGGTCCAAGGATAACTTTTCCAAGCTAAGATTGACAGACATCCCATCTCAACTCTTTCCATTTGTATTGCTGATTACTGGTTCTGGGCAAAACACTGGCAGAGATAGTAAGAGAGGAATTCTGCTTAGAGTAATGTTGTCAGAGCCACGAACTCATCCTGTTGCTCATTAGCGCAATTGGCATAACCTTGCCAAGGACTTGTGCTCTTCCTAGAAACCTCTTTTGCTAATCAAAAGGAGTCTAAAAAAACCCTTTTAGGGCCAGCAGCCTTTCGACAACTCTCTTGTTCATGCCAGGAGGAAAAGCCATTATACCACCTGGGTTCCTAGTCTGCAATTTCTATCTGACCTTGAACAGGAAGCCTCATGCCTGAAATGGGGGAACTTCTCTGCTTTCCCCCCATCATCTTCTTTTGTAACTCCATACCTGAGGGAGAGCTCTTGTGAACTTGAAAGCTTGCATATTCTTTTATGACATTTTAATTGGTGCTAATACGGGGGGGGGTGCCTTTCAGTCAGTTTTTGACTCCTGGCAACTGCCTGGACTAGGCTTTGTAGTTTTCTTGGCAAGCTTGGCTTTCTAATGCAGTTATTAGTCATTAGGGAGCCAGTTTGCTATACTGTAGTGTTTAAAGGCACCAGGATAGAAATGGGGAGACTCTGATTCTAGTCCTGCTTTAGGCACAAAGCCAGTTGGGTGACCTTGGGCCAGTCCTTCCCTCTCAGCCCTGGGAAGGAGGCAAGGGCAAGCCACTTCTGAAAAACCTTGCCAAGGGCATTCACCAGGAGTCAATTATTACTTAGGTAAGGACCTAGCGACTGAATTCCCATGAAATAGTCCTGGTTAGCTAAATAAGCATTTACTCACTTGACCTGTGGGGATGGGGTTCACATGATACACCCTGTACAGGGGCTGGGTTCACAAGGCTAAAATGCAACTGACTCGTCTGTGGTTCATTATCTCGTATGATAGGAACACAGTCAGGACTGCCATAACTAGCTCGGCAGAAGTGAAAGAAGATGTTTAACTGCAGGAAAGGTTAGCGATGTGGCTTTGCCCCAGAACTGCTCTGCTCATTGAGCAGCCTGGTTACAGGAAGTCCCAGCCTCATAGGGGAAGTTGCCTTTCCCTACTGCCAGAAGAGGAAGTGTTGCAGTGCCGTTTGCATGATAAGCCGAATGCCCGAAGAGCAAGTCGTGCCACAGGAGTTGCGGCTGGGTGTGGCTGCTGCCGATCTTGAATTTCTCCCTCGCCAAGCGTGAAGCCCCAAGGGGCGCTGCCGATTCTGTGGGAAGATGTCCTTGTCCTCCGTGTACGAGCACAAATTTGCTGAGAAGCTGACAATTCTTAATGAGAGGGGCAAAGGGGTGCTTATCCGCATATATAACATCAAGAAGGTAGGTGCTGATGTGTCCCTGACAAAGAGATCTCCAGCCTGATCCTAAGAAAGGGATACGGTAGTATCTGTGGGGTCTAAGGTGTGGGTATGTCTGTCTGACTAGAGCATTTCTCTACTTTGTTCTCCTTCTGGCTTACAGCAAAGGTGGGAGGCACACGTTGCTGTAGAGAAGATCTGATTATTAATCTTGGTTTGAGGAAGTGGCTGGGCTAGAGAGTAGATATGTTGGGGTAGGGAAGCCCACAACCACTATCCAAAAACACTAACTTGGAAGAAAGACTAAGAAATGAATGGCTCCTGTATAGCAAGTATAGAGAAGTCTGTGATATAGGCCCGTGAGCACTGTTTGTTTTTAAATGAGCAATTCTTAGGTGCTGTTCTAGAAGAAAATATGTTTGTCAATCTGCAGCCTTATTCTAAATTTCTCCAGCTTTGGACCTGCTTTCCTTCCTGTCACCAATCCAAACCTTCCTCTCTAGGCCAGGAAGAATCTCTTTTTTTGTTATTTGGCTAGTTCCCAAAGCACACTACACTAAAAGAAGTCTGATGTGCTTTGTGAATTGAGGCCTGATGGTTAGTTTATGGTTCAGTGTGTTGTGCAAACCCAGGCAGTTGGGTTAATAATGTAAATCATTGGTTAGTCTGTTGCACATCGTCTTTATGCAGACATTTTCTTCCTCTGTTTTGAGTATCCCTGCTCAGACAATGCTGGTTCAAGCATCACA